TAGCAGAAACCACTGCAGGATTTTCTCCATCCCCTCCCTCCCCCACTTGTGACTGAGAAATGGAGGATTGTGTTTATTTTCTGCAGATCCGTAATAGTGGTACCAAAGAGGGATTTTACTCATCTTGTTCGGTGGGTCCGATGGGCTGGGAGCACCCCCCTCCAGTGTGTAGCTGGTTTCAACTTTTGATCCATATGATTTTATTAGAAAATAAATTTTCATAAAACATCTTAAAAGTGGCATTTTTCCTCGGGAAGTTCCTTTTTGGGGGGAGAGGGGGAGGGTCAGTGGGTTGGCTCCTTGCTTGAAGATTAGCTCGGGTTTTGTGACAAAAGCATTAACCGCCATCATCTCCCCCTCAGCGGAGATGATGGCGGTTCTGCGATTATTTCCGTGACTGCAGCTGGGACGGGGAATCCGCCGCCCAAAGCCTTTTCGCGCCGTTGCTTAACAAAGGCGGCTAAAAAGCGCTTCACTTCCGCTCCGATCCCCCTGGAGACCATACCCCTGACTTCAGAGATGCCCGCCTCTTGATACCTGCAAGATGGCTCTGGTTTAAGGGTACCGTAAGGATCTGAATGTAGCACGTCTTAGAGCTGGCGTCTTGGACAAAACCTGGGGCTTATCCGCAACATTTTCATCTAAATCCCCGGGAGACCTGAATATCTCTGCGGATTTTCAGACTTGAATAAAAGCAGAACAAATTTTGTAGCTCTCACTTCCTCGGGCGGGGGGGGGGAGGGGGTCGGTAAGCAGCTATGGCGTCTGCGACCAGAAGCTGTTCCCGCTTTCCTATAAGCAGCAATGTAGAGAGTTTACTTCGGAGGGAGAATTCATTCTGCTCCTTTTATACATGGCGGTCTCAAAGAGAACCGGTTGAGAAACGCTGCGCTACTTCCCTTAGCGCCCTTCCAGTAGATCATTCAAAGACTGCCCGTGTTGAAATGCATGCCTCTTCTCTACTTTAATAAAAGATATCAAATTCACCCAAGGAACCTTGTCTGCCTATGTCCTTAGACCAACACGGTTACAACCTAAACCCCTACTTCTACTCTGCTTATCTCTAACTTCCCTGAAGTCTTAAGAAAACCGGGGAATAAGTCTCTACTGTCCTCTAGCTGAAAGAAACGCGTCTTTTTACTAACCCAACCACAAGCCGTGCACTAGACGCCCCCCCCCCGCTGATAGAACACAAATTCAGTATATTTCAAAAATAAGATCCTTAAGTATAGACACCTTTATAAGAACACAAGAATTGTTATTTCCTGGGTCAAACCACAGATCCAGCTTGCCCAGCACCCTGGGTCACAGTGGGAGAAAGTGAATGCTGACAGGAAAGGTGAACTGGGTATGATCGGGATCCCCCCTCCCGTTCTTCTCACTTGCAGCCACCAAGGTCTAGGATGTGCCGATTCAAAGGCTGCACCCCTCACTCAATAGCTATTGATGCCCCTTTCCTCCAAGAATTTCGCTTGCACAGCGTCTGATGGCAGTGAGCTCTACACTTTAGTTACACCCCGCGTAAGGTCACTTTTGTTAGTTGTACACTGCTACCTACCAGTAACCCCTAGTTGTGTGTGCAGGGAACAGGCTCACCCGCTTTCCTACAAAATGATCACCATGTTACAAGCGGGTAGAGAAGCACAGTGAAAGGATTCGCAGAAAGCAGAGGGGAATTAGGCAGAGCCAGAGCGCTTCTGGAAGCCCGTTTTGCAGGGCTTGGTCTCCCGCTCACCCCTCACGGAAACTGTTTCAGGGAAAAGTCATAAACTGGTCAACTTATCTTAGTGGCTGAAAAATACGAACGCGATGTTTTAGGAGTACACACAGCATATGTAAAGCACATTTAGAAGTATAACTACTATATTATATGCTTACTATTACAAAAACTATTAAACCTAAGGCAAGTAAGACAATTGCCACCACCGAGCGCTTCCCTCCCGAGCAAGCCCAGCTCTTTCCGTGCAGAAGTGAGTGGCCCTTAGAAGGGCCTTTGGGTCCAACAGCTGTTCTAGGTTTCTTTCGCGTGGCTTAACCACCGAATCCGTAGAGGGTGCGACCCTGGCGCTTCAGGGCGTACACCACGTCCATGGCGGTCACGGTCTTCCTCTTGGCGTGCTCCGTGTAGGTGACGGCGTCGCGGATGACGTTCTCCAGGAAAACCTTCAGCACCCCGCGGGTCTCCTCGTAGATGAGCCCCGAGATGCGCTTCACGCCCCCGCGGCGGGCCAGGCGGCGGATGGCCGGCTTGGTGATGCCCTGGATGTTATCGCGCAGCACTTTGCGGTGCCGCTTGGCGCCTCCTTTCCCCAGCCCCTTGCCGCCCTTTCCGCGTCCAGACATCTTCAACCAGCTTCTCTGATCTCCGCAATGAACAGTGCTGCTACACCAGCGCCAGCAGGTTTATATCGGGTGCGGGGAGCGGACTTGAAGGGGCACTGCGAGGTGAAAAGGCGCGAATCCCTCCCCTTTTCCCCGCTCTTATCATAGCAGTTGCGCTCTCCAGCCACTCATACACCGAGCATCGCGCATTGACCAATCAGACGCGAGCGGTTAACTTTAAATGGAGCGGTTGGTGCCAGATTTCATCCCGAGCATGCGCTGAAGAAATTTGCTGACTGCTTTAGGATGAAGAAAGTCAGCTCAGGATTGCGATAGGAAGGTACTTTTCAGTGCCCCGCATGTCTCACAATGTTTCCTCTTCCACTGCTTCCATATCTTTTGCTTTCTCCGCCGCTGCTCCTCTGAAATGTTTTGGTAGCTGTTTGCTGTCAAGTGGGATCCCTTTCTCTCCTCTTAGGAGACCTGCACTTAACTAACGATAAACCTATGCTTAACGATGAGGTTTTTCTAAACCCCACGTATTGATTGCCCATGGGCTAGCTTGGATAATACCTTACCTATAACCTTGGAACAGAGCATGGTATTGGATGAAGAGAGCATAGAAGCCTGTCTCCCCCTCCCCCAAACCATTAGCTTATTTAACTAAGGCACCGGAGGGCCTCCTTGCTCTCTTTCTTCCATTTGTGATTTTAGGGGGACTTTACCCAGCTTTATGCATATACCTATCTAGAGTACAATCTGCAAAGTGAGTTCAAAAGTCGTGTGGCTAGAGCTCAATCACAAACTATAAATGTCCAAAACTGCAAACCTGCAGCTATATACATGGTATTTATATATGTAATGTGAAATAAGATTATGCCCACAGTGCGCCCAACTAGTATATAGTGACTGATGATAAAACACCTCTCCAAACCAGTTTGTGTTAGAATTCACTATCATGACGGAGGAACACAGAAGTAGCTGCCTGGTTTCCAAGACCAGGCTTTCCCTGCTCCTTTCATCTTAAGGCCTGGTGCTAGTGATCCATACATTTTTCCAAGTATGTGGATAAATGTGAAAATGGGTGCAAATGCCAGCCAATAATCTGATACAAGTTCAGCAGCAGAAAGGAGAAAGCACAGTGGCACAGCAGGGAGAGGGCAGGGCCTCTCACTGCTAGCAGTGTGGAGAAACCAGATAGATAAATTAACATTTGGTGATAACAAAGAACAATGGCTTTAAACAGGTGTGGGTCCCAGCTCTAGAGGGACAAGTGCTAGCTTCAGCAACTGGGAACTGCCTATCTTCTCTGGGAAGTGCTGTCATTTACTAGACTATTTTTTTTAAAGGAATCCAAAATCCCAGCTCCAACTATTGAGCTAGACAGGAAGTCTGCCTTGTTAGTCTGAAGTCAGGCAGAAGGTAGGACAAGGTGGGACATGGTACATTACTAAGTTCAGAGAAGCCTGAGCTGTTGTAAGCAATAACCTACTTTACTGGACGCTGAAACAGGACACTGAGGCAGCTGGGCAACAGAGCTGAATGCTAGGTATATAGAGAATTTAGCAGCCAACTTGTAATTCTGAAATCCGTTGCATCAGGGGCAGGGGTTAAATGCTCTATGATGTGCAAGTGTGTGCCCAATTCAACAATAGTTCCTGGGTGACTACCATCCAGAAGGAAAACTTCTTCCAAGCAGGATCATATAGGAATTATTGTTCCACCATGACTGATCTCAGGCATTAGGACAACTGGCATTCTTCAGTCCCACCCCTGGATTTCTTTCGCATCTTAGCCCTTGGAAAGCCCACGTTGCAACACATTTGAGAGTGCAGTCAGTTTGGTGATTTTTTTTCTGAAGTACTTACAGTATCTGCCTAACCCAGGTATTCAGTAGATCTTATAGCACAATGGGTGTGGACCATAACTGAACAACCTGAAACTTCTCTGGGCCCAAGAAAGCTCCCTTTATTGTAATAGAGAGAACCACTTCCTTCTCTAATAAATGTTTTTTCAGAAGGTTTAATTATAGGCGTGTACCCATTTAGTTTGGTGAGCATCACCACTCTGTGTGTCAAGTGCTTCTTGCGTGTCTTTGAATATTCAGGGGTGTGATCCACGTACAGGAAGGATAAAATTCTCATGGCTTGGACCCCAGGGTACTATGCAATCCTTTTAAGAGTGCAGTAGGGTGCCACACAATATTAACTCTGCATGCACCTACACCTGATATGCAAGATAAACCCAGGGGTTTTGAATCTTGACTATCAAAAATATTTCTAACCTGTTATGTTCTTTCTGAATTCTTTGCAAAAGAAAATTTGCTGTATTATTTTTTTTGGTAGTCAAAAAAGAGTGAAAACTGAAACCTGGCATTTTCCATGAGGTGCCTTGAGTCTAATCAGGGATGCCTTGAATTTAAAAAGGTTGAAAGCCACTGACTTAGACAGTGGTACATCCCCAATTCACTGTGAAAAACTGAACAGTTGTGTGTTTATATTTGCAGATAAATGCCTTCTTTCCCTGGTGCTCTGGAACCAACAGTATCTACACAAAAAAACTAGAAAGAAAGGGCCTCCTGAGTCCCTACTATCTCAGGCAACATCAAGACTTTTTTTTTCATGAACTGACCCAACCCTTCCTTAAAAACAAGCAGGTTGCTTGTATTACCAAAAATCACCAGTACTATTCAGTCTTTAGAGAGCCAAGACTGCAGCCTGTTTATAATCCGGACTCTTTTGCAAATTTAAATACAGAATTAAGGGTGAGTTACAGAGGTGCAACAAGTCAGCAGGACACCCAGGGCAACTGCAATGCATGGAGGCAGCAGTGACTTATGTATGATAGTTGCCATCCTGCCAGTACAAATGTGTGACTGCAGCAGCTGCTGCTATTTTTTTCATCTCCTCCTCCAAGTCAGTACCCAGGGCTGCTGCCCCAGATGCTCCACTATACAGTAGATACACTACTGGGCAGTTACAGTTTCCCTAATAACAACCCTTTTTACACACCAAATCAGAATACAATTACACTTCCCAATGAGCCTCCATTCCTTCTTAGCAGGTAAGGTATTATGAACACCCAGGTCAAATAAAGAGGCAAAAGACGCATCTATAGCCCCACCTTTTTATTGATGACACCCAGAAAGCACAAGAATGAGCACTTTTCTTGATGTCTATCCAGCTCCCTGCAACAGCACAATATAAATGCAAACCTATATACTGACTAGGAGATACACAGGGGGACAAGGGTCGCATGCAAGATGGCAGCAGGTTGTCTTGAATGTACTGAGTTCTCCCCACCCCCACTTGTTTACATTCAATATTTATATGTGGCTTACTTTAATAAATATTCTCTGATTGGTGTTATTCACATTTCTTTGTTTCACTGAGACTTTGGGATCTGGATTGAACTGTTTTGTTTTGGTTTGGTTGGTTTTTGTTTTGTTCTGGGGGGGGTTGGGGTTCTGTGGACTTGGAATACAACTATTAGCTGGGGTCTGCATCCTTGTAAAAAGTAGAGTTCTAGAACCAGAGGACTTCTTTCTTTTCCTCAATATCTGGGAATGTTACTTACTGCGTTTTTTCTTTTACTTTGCTGACCAAGTTAGTTGTAAAGGTTCACATTGAAACAAGCTTTGGGCCTGCTTTTTGGAGCCTGTCATCAAAAGGCAAAGCATCAGTTATTTTCAGCCATTACAAAGCACTTTCCACAAAGCAGTTCTTCATACTTGGCTAACCTAATATTAGTGACCTTGATAAACAGATTCTTATTCTGCTTTCCCAGGCTACCGCTTGACCAACCTGACGGTGGGTGGTTGGACCCAGAAAGGTGCTGCGCGAACAGGCCGGGGATGGAAGGGTTACGGGACCTTGTTTCTCCTTCTCTTATCTCTCTTCCAGTTGACAGAAAAACAATTAAGGAGGCGGTGTAACAAATAAATGCTTTACCCACACTTTCGTATAGGTGGTTTCCTTTACAGCAGTTTCAAGATTAAACTCGCTGGTGACTCGAGAGCTCTAAACACATTCGAATGATATACTCAGTCGTGATGGGGGGCATCCAGGGGGAAGGGATTTCGTGGATGCAGGACCTCCGGTGAGGGTGATCAGGCCTCTCCGATATGGCACGGGTCCCTCCTTTTTGGCGCGCGCGCTTTTTCTTTTAAACGGGCTGCATCCACCTGCCCCCTGCCAACGCCCCCCTGCCACCCCGCGCGGCCCAGGCCCTCCGATCTCGTGGCTATCAGGCCGCACACGCCACGAGCACAACTTGCTCTCATGTTTGGCGTTTGGTCATTTTTTTTTTCTTTATCACACTGCTTATGACTTCAATAAGAGCATATTAGTCATAACTTAGGCTTTTGCCAAGTCTGCAGTCTGCATCGGTCTATATGGTTGGTCACAAACCATATCTACAAGACTACACTTGCTCCGATTTTCTCTATTGAGAAGCCATTCAGAACCCTCACTCTTCAGATTGTTAGAAACCACGTTAATTCCTCGCATGAGTTTGTGAACACCCATTTGTTCTTTTGCTTATTCTGACCTTTGGTGTCTGTCTCTAGTGGGTTATGGAATAGAGAAAATCCCACACAATTTACTGATTCGTTTTGATGCACTGGCTGGGGGTGTAGTTAGCTGATTAAATGATTTCATAATGATTACACACTTAATTCATACAACACAATTTTATTTTAAAACTCTTTGCTACGTATATAACACTGCTTAGCTTTAAGAAATACCACCAACATTAAGAACACAATAACTACATATATCAGAAACATTGCTCCGAATGCACTTCCTTCCCAAACAATGCTATAAGAATTAGTATTACAAAAACAACTACAATTACAACTAAAAGTTAAATTTGAATCAATACTATTATTTTCATAATATACTTACAATCCTAGAATTCTGAGAAGCCAAATACCAAAATATGGTTTAATTCCTCAGTAGTACAATTTAATGGGTTGGCCTCAGTAGTACGGTTCAATGGGCTCGCCTCAGCAATACGATTCA